TTACAAAATTGTATATTTAAACTAATATAGGCCAAATTAATTACAAATGTGCATTTAAAATGTAGGTAGGCCTACATAATTTTTACATAACAAAGTGGTAAGAGAAAAATAATCTACAAATATATCTGTCACATTGGAATAAAAAGTCTAAATAAGGTAATAATAATATATAAGCTATTAATATAATGAATTTTAATTTAGTTTACGAAGCTGTGGGATTATTTATGCACATTTAAAATAAAAACAATGCAAAAACGGCCTTAAATAACAATACGCCTATTGTTTTTGTTTACGCAAGCTGTGTGTAAATTATAATCGTATTATTCACAATAAACCCATAGTTGCGGATAAGTGTTACAAGGGTGTAGGATCCGGGCTTTCCGGATATCCTCAGGCCCTTGGACATGATACCCGTGGACCAAGTCGTATGGCGCCTATAGCCAGACAGCACTGTATAGATGTGTGTCTGTCTAAATTTAAATCTAAGACAAAAGTACTGTATATGGGTTTATACTGTTCTTTGAGCGTGTAGCTGCATTTTAGATGACAAGTTTCAAATCGTAATTTTTTTACAATAATTTGCTGATAAATAAATTCTAGTTAAAATTAATTGATAATGAATATTCTCGATGGTCTACAGCTAATCTTCGTATGAAAGCTACACAGACCATCTTACTCACATTGCATTCATAAGTGAGCGTCGCGTTTTTGTAGTAATAATAGGAAAGATAATAAAATTTATAAAAATAACGGTTTCCCAACCACAAACTTAGTGTTCATCTTAAAAAGGGTTCTTTCCATAGTGTAATAACTTCCACACAGGATTCGATAGGTAAATGTGGAAAAAACTTAAGAGCGTAATAAAGTATTTTTTTCGATACAAATTCAAAATTAAAAACATAATATCCGACTTTTGAAAAATTCAAATATTTATGACGTTTTTAAAGTATTATCCATCGAGGTTAAGACCTACCAGATTTGAACATTTTTGTTTTCCAAGTTTTCCACGAGATATTCCTCAGCTAGTCGAGGCGTATTACCACCGATTCCTTGGATAAGAAATACGTCAATCAAGGATCCAGAGCTGGGATCCAATAGTCCTGTGAATAATGATCCTTCGTCATTAGAGTCGGGACGTGGGGCTCAATAGTCCTATCCGTCTCCAAGACGCTCTCGCACTAATGTAGAAAATCTCTATTACAACGGTTCTAAGTATCAAATTTACCAAAACTTTAAGACAATTCTATATATATATATATATATATATATATATATAAGCAAGCATGTTTCTTAAAACCTTTTTCTCAGCTCGTGTGTATCGCAAGGAATCTACGTATACTGTTAAAAATATATTTTGCCTGTAGATGTGCAGAATCACTTTATAAATTAAAATAGGTAGGCTCAAATATAAGCACAAAAAATTCATATTTTTTTAATTACATGAGCCTTATGGGTTGCCATGCTGGTGACGAAATAACAACTTAATATAAATAGAAAATCAAAAGAAATGGAAGAAATTGCAATCACATGTTTTATTTACAGCGTGGGTGAAAATAGAGAAGTTTGCACAAACATATTTTAGGTCAAGTTTTCGATTACAGGATGACCTCTAGTTTGAATAAATGTAGTATACTAGTTGTAATAAGTTGTTGATTTGCATTGTTTTGTTTGGTCTTACTTTAATATGAGAATTCATATTTTAAGCATGGATTCGTTATAATACACTGGATTTTGAACGTATTTCTAACAAATTTCAATTTAGTTTTCTAGCTTAAAAAGACCTAAATTAATGTCCATTTTCTGCTAGACTTTATTTTGATCAAAATAAATACAGTTATCAATATAAAGGAAAAACTCGTTTATACTCCTATATGTTATTGTAAATTTGTAAAAATTTTAAACTTAGGTAGATGTTTATGTTTCTGTTATATTTTTTTTACTGTTCATTATACCGGTATTGTATTATAATAAATTGTTATTATATTATATAGTTGATGGACTGGGGTTCTATATGTATTTTTTATTAAACCTAAGTTATACCAATTTAATTATTTAACTGTTAGTGTCGTCTATCAGCCTCACACCTGTAAAGTATTGGTCTCTAATTATGTTTCTTGCTATTTGTTTTTTAAAACTTTTATTTTCGTCGTCTCATTTATTACTTTGAAATTGGATATGCCGTAAAAAGAATGAAAAATATCGCATTGCTGATTTAATAAAGCAAAGCCTAATAATAATAATGATTGGATTAAAACGATTAAAACATCTGAATAGCCTGTAGTTGCGTTTGGACGACTAAGTTTAAGATTTATAACACACGAACTGAGTACTGAACAGGAAGTTTTTTTTTCTTTAAGGTTTATGTTTATAGAAGCATATTTTGCGCATACTTATTTACTAAACGAATAAATGATAAAACTGGAGAGTTTTAATTAAGCCTACTGTTTTACACAAAATAAAATTTCAATTAAGCTAGATATAGACAAGTGTAAATTTATGTTAAGTAAACGTAACTTAACATTTATAAATAAATATGACGTAGGCTTCTCCGTTTTAAAACTATAGAATTTATAGTAGCCTGCATACTTATTTTTCCTGATTTATATTTAGACCTATATGTTTTATTTATACTGTTATTCATTGTCATTTATTGTTACTAATTGGTGTTTATTTATTGCGTGTTTAGTTATTTACTGTGCATGTATTAATAAGCTACATTTAAAAATAAATTGATCACTTTACAATAATTGTATAAAGTAATTGATGTTTCCGTTGGAAATATAAATAAAAAAACAGTTTGGCTATAATTATAGTACAGTAGGCTATTCTTTACCCAAAATTAGCTTAAGCTTCGGTATATTTGTTCAGTATATCCTCCAGCCAAAGAAAATATAAATAAACTTAATCTTTTCAATACAACAAAACACCGTAAATGCAGTCATTATTTATAAGTCAATGAGAATGATTTTTAACTATAGTTTTTAACTATTTCAATTTAATTATTTTAAACCGAACACTAAATAACAATCCGTAAACTTTTAACATTAACAACATAAGACGGTATCTACAGAGATATAAAAGCGCGTAGACACAGTGTATAAAGTTCCATTAAACTAAAGTAAATATTGGAGTAGGAAAATACACAGAAATACACGTGGCTTGGTCTAGGCGACGAATAATGCTCTATATTTATTTAACAATGCTAACAACTACTACACTGCCCCGGCCATTTGTAAATGAGTATTTGCCTGTCCATGTTTACAATGGTGTTTGCGTTTGGTCAACATTAATGCAATGTTCCGCACTGGTCAATTGTTTGCCAAAAATTATTGATTTGAAAACGTCAAATCGGTTGATGTTTGGGAATTGAATTTGTAATGTTAATAAGGTAGATGGTATTTATATTTTTAGGTACTATAACCTGTGCTTCAGTGGTGTTTTCACAGATTTTTGATATACCTTTTAAGCAATGTAGTAATTGTTTTTTAACGAGCGATTTTATCGTATTTAATCATTATTATTTTCACTAAAGAATATTATGTATAGTATACATTTTTTTTACAACTTCACTTCAGGAAGTTTTTTGAGCACTCAAGTATAAAAAATATAATGTCGATAAAAATATTAAGAAATACGTTAATTATTTATTAAAATATTTCTGCTAATATGTTTAAGTTAAAAAAAATATTTTGTCTCGAATCAAGCAATGATTGGCCTACTTGTATAAAATATAGTTCATTATTTTACATAATTTACATTAATAAAACTAATTTTAGATTTAGTGTTGGATACAAATTAACATCATAGGGTTTTTAGGGATTTTTTTCAGATTTTAGATACGTTGAACCTTTGCTGCTGTAGGTGTTAAAAACACTATAACTTTTCTCGGAAACTATGTATAATAATTCAAAATGAAGAGTGCTTGACTAAAATAGTATTTATTTTTTACCAAACACCGTTTCGTAATATTTACATCTTAACGTCGGTATGGCGTATAAAATATGTATTTAATATTTCACTAACGGAATATTATCTAAATTATTTTACCCCGAATGACTTTAAATTGAATAAAATACTTTTTAAAGAAACTTATACGTTGTATACAGCGTAACTACCATTTTACGGTGTAAATTGGCAAATTTAATGCGCAAAAGTCGATTTCCACTGTTATTTAATTTAAATATCCATCAAACACGTAAAGTTGCACTTTACTACGAGGATGTAGCGAAGCACCCTGTATCTCGTACGTTTCACTTTAATGGCCTCAAATTTATGACTTGGAGCGAGTTAAGCCTCCGTTCCTTGGAACTAAGGACGGAGCAGTTAGTAGTTTGTAAGGACATAAAGTGTTGCAGCGTAAAAATACCCGGAATGCACTTAGGGTTCACAAACTAAAGGGTCGCGCATACAATTATTGGTATTTTTGCACACTGGCTGAACACATTTGTAAGGAAACCTGCTGTAGAGATATTGGTGTTCATTTTATGTAGGCCTAATTTCGAGTATGTTATTTTATTTTTGGTTTATGATACTACTACTATATTTTTTTAATGCAAAGCTCTTTCAAAATATTTGAGACTGGAGACTAGATATATTTGTAAAACAGTATAAGACATTCACGAATAATTGAACGCATTTTTCTAAGCCTTACTAGTGGTATTTGTAAACGTAGCTTAAATTATCACTCGGTCTCCTTTAGTAATAGGGAAAATTTAAACATTCATTTTATGGCCACGTAACATAGAAATATTTCCATTACTACAGTTTTATTTATTCAAACGGATATTTACAATGAATTCCGTGTTGTGTTGAGGGGTTCGTAAACGTAAACACCTTTCCTTGTTTGTGACATCAATGTTTGTTTTCCAAACACATACGGACATTTATGCTGGGTTATTTGTGTTGGTCACGCAAAATAACATAACAAACCGCATGTATGTAAAGTTACATCCAAAATTTGTTCATATTATAACAATACGAGGTAACACAATTAACCTTACCTCAGAGGTAATCCAAGTTTAATCCATAACACTAACTAGAGTTCACCATCGATCTAATGTTGCAGACAGTGTTTTGGGGATTCACTCACAACCCTCACGGTTCACCACACTAACATAGTGTCCAGTACACACACGAAGGACGAGATACGCACTACACACACAACACAGGCCAGCAGACACACACACACGTCGCGTCGGACAGAGCGGTACGGTGTGGAGAGCAAGAGGCTTGGAGCACGACTGGCGTGTGCGGTGCGTGCGACGGTGCGCCTCCCCCCACCACGGCTACCACCCCTACATCGCTGCTGCGCCACCCGCCGCCCGCCGCGCTATCCCGTATATCAATGGAACTGTTCCCAGTCTTGTTTTCATCCATGAGAAATATGTACGAGCTTCCTCAATAGTTGTACGATAACTCTCCAAGAATTTTGATTAGGTTTAAATATATTATTTTTAATTGATCGTTAAGAATTTGCCTTGTGATAATACTAGACACATAGAGTTATAATACTACCGTATATGGACTTAAATAATATCATTTATGAGTCTGAACCATGACTTACAGTTTAATTAGAATACTGTGAATTACTTGTGAAGATTGAATGTTGCTAGTGAAGAATGTATATAACATTTTCATGTGGGTGGAACAAGTTATGGAATACATAAATAGTTCTCATGATCTACAATGAATACGTTTTCACCTGGTAGGAGTAGTTACCAGGTGATAAGAGGTTAGATTCACAATGATGAGTCATGGCATTGTAGGAAAGGTCCCCGTCTGTGATTGGTAGAATTTAACCATGCCTCCAGGACAGAAATGCCTCCTATCTCCAGACCAACCGCAACAGCACAATATCAATAAACCATAGAACAAAGAGACCATCAATCATTTCTCATTCATTGAATTTGTAACAATTCTTTATCCCTTTTGAACCAGTTTCCCTAACCAATACACCTTGTAAACAACTAATGATGTAGAAAATAATTATAACCCAGTAGTGTCAGGTTTGAAAGAATCTTGCCTCCAGGTCTTGTGCATGTTTACATTTTCCCTCTATTTGGACGGACGTGGCTCAGAGACTAACAATTACAGTAGATATCCCAGCCTCAAGGACTACTGTAATTCGTGCATTACAGCAGATATAGCCCGAGGTGCTGCAGTAGCCGTTGTGGCTCTGAGCTGACTGCAGATATAGCCCAGAGTGCTGCAGTAGCCGTTGTGGCTCTAAGCTGAATGCAGATCTAGCCCAGGGTGCTGCAGTAGCAGTTGTAGCTCTGAGGTGACTGCAGATATAGCCCAGAGTGCTGCAGTAGCGGTTGTGGCTCTGAGCTGACTGCAGATATAGCCCGGGGTGCTGCAGTAGCCGTTGTGGCCCTGAGCTGACTGCAGATATAGCCCGGGGTGCTGCAGTAGCCGTTGTGGCTCTGAGCTGACTGCAGGTATAGCCCAGAGTGCTGCAGTAGCCGTTGTGGCCCTGAGCTGACTGCAGATATAGCCCGGGGTGCTGCAGTAGCCGTTGTGGCTCTGAGCTGACTGCAGGTATAGCCCAGAGTGCTGCAGTAGCCGCTGTGGCTCTGAGCTGACTGCAGGTATAGCCCAGAGTGCTGCAGTAGCCGTTGTGGCTCTGAGCTGACTGCAGATGTAGCCCGAGGTGCTGCAGTAGCCGTTGTGGCTCTGAGCTGACTGCAGATGTAGCCCAGAGTGTTGCAGTAGCCGTTGTGGCTCTGAGCTGACTGCAGATATAGCCCAGAGTGCTGCAGTAGCCGTTGTGGCTCTGAGGTGACTGCAGATATAGCCCAGAGTGCTGCAGTAGCCGTTGTGGCTCTGAGGTGACTGCAGATATAGCCCAGAGTGCTGCAGTAGCCGTTGTGGCTCTGAGTTGACTGCAAATATAGCCCAGAGTGCTGCAGTAGCCGTTGTGGCTTTGAGCTGACTGCAGATATAGCCCGGGGTGCTACAGTAGCAGTTGTGGCTCTGAGCTGACTGCAGATATAGCCCAGAGTGCTGCAGTAGCCGTTGTGGCTCTGAGCTGACTGCAGATATAGTCCAGAGTGCTGCAGTAGCCGTTGTGGTTCTGAGCTGACTGCAGATATAGCCCAGAGTGCTGCAGTAGCCGTTGTGGCTCTGAGCTGACTGCAGATATAGTCCAGAGTGCTGCAGTAGCCGTTGTGGCTCTGAGCTGACTGTAGATATAGTCCAGAGTGCTGCAGTAGCCGTTGTGGTTCTGAGCTGACTGCAGATATAGCCCGGAGTGCTGCAGTAGCCGTTGTGGCTCTGAGCTGACTGCAGATATAGTCCAGAGTGCTGCAGTAGCCGTTGTGGTTCTGAGCTGACTGCAAATATAGCCCAGGGTGCTGTAGCCGTTGTGGCTCTGAGCTGACTGCAGATATAGCCCGGGGTGCTGCAGTAGCCGTTGTGGCTCTGAGGTGACTGCAGATATAGCCCAGAGTGCTGCAGTAGCCGTTGTGGCTCTGAGGTGACTGCAGATATAGCCCAGAGTGCTGCAGTAGCCGTTGTGGCTCTGAGTTGACTGCAAATATAGCCCAGAGTGCTGCAGTAGCCGTTGTGGCTTTGAGCTGACTGCAGATATAGCCCGGGGTGCTACAGTAGCAGTTGTGGCTCTGAGCTGACTGCAGATATAGCCCAGAGTGCTGCAGTAGCCGTTGTGGCTCTGAGCTGACTGCAGATATAGTCCAGAGTGCTGCAGTAGCCGTTGTGGTTTTGAGCTGACTGCAGATATAGCCCAGAGTGCTGCAGTAGCCGTTGTGGCTCTGAGCTGACTGCAGATATAGTCCAGAGTGCTGCAGTAGCCGTTGTGGCTCTGAGCTGACTGTAGATATAGTCCAGAGTGCTGCAGTAGCCGTTGTGGTTCTGAGCTGACTGCAGATATAGCCCAGAGTGCTGCAGTAGCCGTTGTGGCTCTGAGCTGACTGCAGATATAGTCCAGAGTGCTGCAGTAGCCGTTGTGGCTCTGAGCTGACTGCAGATATAGTCCAGAGTGCTGCAGTAGCCGTTGTGGCTCTGAGCTGACTGTAGATATAGTCCAGAGTGCTGCAGTAGCCGTTGTGGTTCTGAGCTGACTGCAGATATAGCCCAGAGTGCTGCAGTAGCCGTTGTGGCTCTGAGCTGACTGCAGATATAGTCCAGAGTGCTGCAGTAGCCGTTGTGGTTCTGAGCTGACTGCAAATATAGCCCAGGGTGCTGTAGCCGTTGTGGCTCTGAGCTGACTGCAGATATAGCCCGGGGTGCTGCAGTAGCCGTTGTGGCTCTCACTGACGAGTGAGCTGCTCAAACTGGTTGTCTCGGGCGTAGGAAGTTGTTGGAATGTTCTAGTTTTGCCACCATTTCTCTCTAACACAACAAACTTCGAATTTCCATTTTGAATAAGGAGGGAACGTTCCACATTAGTTTTTAGGATGGCCTAGTTTAAAAAAGGTGTTGATAGGTTTATGTCGAAGTATTAACGAGCTTAGAAACCAATGCGTTTATTTCTTTCAGTTACGTATTTTGGCGGACAAAATTCTTAAAACCACAAACCCCAATTCGACTAGGAAAAAGATCCCACTACTATGCTCGGTATCTACATCAAGTTTAGCTTAGCCTACTTTTAGAAAAGTGTTGATGTCAAATGCTTAAGAACTAATATTTTTATTTATCTCAACGTTGAAAGTACTTGTTAAAAAGTAATAAAGAGAAGCACTCAGCTTGAATATAAACATTAAAACAAAATGGCTTGACAGATATTGTATTCAAACACCAGAACGAACATTGTAGTGCACCACATCAATGCAGACAAATGACTGGTTGAGAAGCCCATAACACGATATTGTAATGGCTGCACTGTACTGCACTCAGCAATGTGGGCAGGCGAAGTTCTAATGTCCACTACTCGGCTCACTGTTACTTCTGATTACTTCATAACTTTACAAGCTGAGGTTCATGTAATGGGAATAAAATTATGAATCTGTGAAATTAGTTCCTGTAAATGTCTGGTTTGGACTTTAAAAGTAAGTTTTCCAAGGTGTAAAGCGTCAATAAAAAGTTGTTTCTCCTTTTTAAACTTTTTAAATAACAATATCACGCAAACCAAACATGATGCACCTTTACTAATCATTCTAGGTTACAAAATACTTTTTTAACGGAATCGCAAATTTGTTGCCCTAGGTTTGAAAGTGTTACCACATGTAAAGTACCCACAATTTAATTTTAGAGGTATTTGTAAAAGTAACACCTAAAACTAAAATATCTTATTTGATTTATTAGAAATTGGCAGAAGTTAAAACAAAATGATTAAATTATGACTTTAGCAAGCAAAGTGTACTCTTCCGCTGGTATTTTTGACCAGTGGGTCGAAGATCGAAGTACAAAAATTGTAATTGAATCATGATTAATTATTACTATGTACTGTTAGTATTCTCATGTACTAGAAACCATTTGCAAAATACATAATGCTACAGCCCAATTTTTTAGTCCTCAAATCTTGGAAACCTCAAATTAATTGATTCACAATATTCTATTGCCGCTGGAAAAAATCATCAAGGAAATTTATACCCCTTCTTTATAGATTGTTAAGTATGCAGTAAGAGTTATCCTTTTAACCTTAGAAGACAATTAATGATTTTTTTCTAACAAGTTTTGAAAAAAAGGTCAACACACTTAGTTCTAGGTTAACAGCCAAAGCAAGTAATTTAAGTACTCAACATCTTAAATAATGTAGTTATTAAACAATACGTCTTAGGAATGTTTGAGCTTATACGGTGACAATAAGTGCTGTACGTGATGCCAGCGCAGAATGTGAGTTACACGTGTTACACGTGCACGTAGTCAGACCAGAACACGTACACGACAGAAGGACACGTTCATGGACGCGACGAGCCAACATGTACGCGTCGCGGGCGCAGGATCCATCATTTCTCAAGTCAATATGTATTATTGTTGTCACGTAATACCATTGACTTTAAATGCTGAAGTACACATCCCGACTGTATGGATGGTATCCATTTCTTTGTAAAAAGTATATAAGTTAAATCAGCTGCTCAAAGTTGTGTTTTGTCTCTTGTGTTGTGGTTGATGGGACATTAAACATAGAATGGCGTGATGAAAATAACATTTCCAGCCTTAGTCAAAATATACTTAGGCTCTACGTCCCTCATGAAACAAATAACTAGCGCATCTATAATATACTTATGTAGATATGTAAAAATAAATTAGAAAACGTGTAA